TAAAATACATGATTTGATTAACTTCATTTTGGAAGAAAAATATGACAAATCGTCCAGTATGATTGTAAATCATACAATATGATTAGTTTTAAATTTTAAGTTTTGACTCTCTCCCCAAGTGTGTGTGTGTACCCGATTATCTAATTATAATTACACTCTCTCTCAGACTCAAGAAAAATAAAAAAATAAAGTTTTATAGACTTTATTATATGAAACCCTATTTAGTCTATCTTAAAGACTTCAACAGTTTGGAGTATGATTCCCTGAAATATTAGTACACACATATAATGAATAGAAAATGTCCAGTACATACTAGGAGAAATGATAAAATTAACATAATAATAATATTTTGCTATCATAAAAAAATACATTCTCAAGCTGGATTCCTCTGTTGCAACAATATCCTCTAAAAACTAGAAGCATCCAATAAGACTAATCAAGTGGTCGATAAAATTAGGAGAATTTGACATACATTACCTGCTTAGGATCAACACCAAGTCATGAGAACTTACAGATTATATGGTTGAGTGCACAAGCTTCTTCTTCTTTTCTCCCATACTAGGCATATATATATATATATATATATTGATAGAGCTTCTGGAAGTTCTAGTGATGGGACTGGAATCTTATTAATCTCCCCACAGCATGTTACGCTTGAATATAAGCTCTAATTAAAATTTCATGTAACAAATAATATTATCAAATCTAAAGCCCTCACTATTGGATTAAGGCTGACCATAAATTACGATGTACAGAACATGGTGTTTCATATCAATTTGCAACAGGTTGTCTCTTAGGTGGTGGGAGAATTTGATGTTAATAACCCGCATTTAGCACGGTTTTGTAATATGGTGAATTCACTTCTCAGTTATATAGAGAAGTATGAAACTATTAATATACTTTGAGGGAAAAATGCTTGGGCCAACACCCTGTCAAAACTTTTTATATCACAGACTGGAGATACTTCCAAAAGAAAATATGTCGAGGAAATACACTTCCCAAACATTGAACAATCTTGAGTCATATAATTAATTGATGAGTCGAAGGAGGTCTCTTAAATTGATCATATATTATATTTCTTGCAAGAAGGGGTGCTACCCGAAGATCTAATTGATGTAGCATGACTTTCGAGGCATGTAATAAACTTCATTATTATTGGTGGAGAGTTATATAAACAAACCTTTACTAAACCATAGTTCAAATGCCACCCACCTTCAGAAGTTGAGTATGTGCTTCGAGAGGTGTATTCAAGTTTATGTGTGGAGCACTTGGAGGAAAGAGTGCTAGCCTTCAAAATCATGATATAAGGATTTTACTGGCCCCCATGAATAAAGATGCAGTATAATTCACATAGAGGTGTAATTACTATCAATTGCACTCCAATCTCACCCATTAACCCACCATAGAACTTTTATCATTGCAAATCCCATAGCCTTTTGCCTAATGGAGAATTGATATAATGAGACCTTTCCTTATGGTTGTAGGACAACAAAATTTTTTCTTTCTAGGTGTGGACTACTTCATCAAGTAGGTAAAGGCTGAACTTTTGACAAAAATTATAGAAGCCAATACTAAATAATTTGTATGGAAGAATATAATATATCATATTGGCATTCCTTTGAAGATCATCAAAGACAATGGAACTCAATTCAATGAAAAAATCTTTATGACATTTTATAAGGATTTTCATATACAACTAGTGCACACAGTCGTAGCCCATCCTCAGGCAAATGGATAGACGGATGTCACAAATCAAACTATACTAAAAGAACTGAAGACAGATTTGGGGAAGGCTAAGGGGAAATGAGTTGAAGAATATTTAAATATTCTCTGGGCTTAAACTTTATATAACCTTTGATTTGGCATAGAAGCAGTTGTACCAATTGATATTGGAGTCCTAAGCTATAGAGTTCAGACTTTTAAACTTTAACAATAATGAAGAAACACTTAGAAATAATTTAGATATTTTTCTAGAAACATTGTGAGGTCATACACAATCTTTATTGTCATCAAACAATGCTTTATCCATGATTTGAGAAATACACAATTTTTATTGTACCTCAATTTCTAGATGTTCAATCCCAAGGAGATTCGATTCAGCCTATTTTGCACAGGTTAAATGTCATCAAATAATGCTTTGACAACAACCTTAGATTAAACATCCTAAGAGGATTTCTTTATGACATTTATTATTGCTTGCTAAAGCATCATCTATATTCTTCTTCTTAGACAATGGTTATTGCTCATCATTATTTAGTAATCGTTTAAAAACAACTTTTGAAGTTTGGGCAGATATTTCAAGCTTCCTCCGACTTTTTTAAGATAGTCTCATGAGACGTCCTCACTTGAATAGATAGGTCAACTTTGAATAAATAATCCTCTTCTATATATTTACCCAGACATCATATCTCATAGAAAGGATTTTCAACATCATGAATGTTAAGCATCCTCAAGATGTAATTATATTGAGTTTGATTCACTTGAATAGAATCAAGTCCTCGATGTAGAAGAATAAGTATAATTATCTTATATTCACATAAATCATAATTTTTCTCTCATGATATTATAGGTGTTTCATGCACAATAAGCATTTGATGGACAACCTAAGCAAAATGTCCAAAATTCCCAACATGTAAATTCATGTAAATTTGAAACAAACTCAAATTTTTGTAGTTGCTCTATTAATATGGTTAACATTAATTTAAAGAGGTTTTTAGAATATGATCAAGGCTTCAACACACAATAATAGGTGTAATTATCTCATATTCATCTAAATCATAAATCTTTTTTTTTTTTTTCCTCTCATTGTATTATATGTGTTTCATGTAGAGTAGCCATTTGATGGATTACTTCAGTCATATGTGCATAATTCCCAAGAGGTAAATTTTAATCAAACTCAAAGATTTGTATTTGCAACATTAATCTTGTCAGCATCAAAGAGGCTTTCATAATATGATCAAGGCTTCAACTCACATCAATAGAAGTAATTATCTCTTATACATCTAAATCATAAAATTTTTTTTTTTTATCTCAAGAGTATTCATATATTAAAAAATTATAATTTCGTAATATTGAAGTTTTGATTCATCCATGTCCATGCTCAACTTCAAGAGAAGATCGATTTAAGAGAGATTCCAGTATAAATTGTGTGGAATTAGCACAAAAGCCATACATACTTTCAGCCATGTAGATAGAGGTATTTCTATCAACTTATTGTTATTCTTCATTAAAAAAAAAATGTTATTGTTCATATACTTAATTAATTAATTATAATATACATGTAAATATGTATATGAGTGTATCATATGTATTTATTTGAATTCATCATGATATTCCAAGTATATTCTTATTACATGGAATGTAAATTTTGTTTTGCTATTGATGGAATAATCAATAACATTTGTACATGCAAATTATGATTCATCAATCGTCACTCATAATAATTGTTCTTACGAACTGTTATTGATATATTAATAATATTAGATCAAATCAAAGTTTGTAGATGGTAAGATTATATAAAATTAAAATAACCATGCCAATTTTTTGAATTCATCATGATATGTCAAAGTAAGCAATACTAATAATATTATAGTTTTTAATTAAACGATTTCTCATACGAAATTTTCTTTTGAAAGCAGTAAGAAAACCATCTCATATTATTAACAATTGTAAACTATTATTGTTGACAATATAGGATAACTTTCTTATTTTAACTATTATTCATCAGTCGATGCACAAAAATTTCATTTTTAGTTAGCAGAAAGACTTCAATGCACATCAATAGAACTTCTTAAAGCAGTTTTTCTTTGATTTATGTCTATTTTAGTTGCCTTGAGGAACAAATACTTCAAATGTGATTAATACTATAAAGGTCGTTCTCTCTTGTAAGAAATTTTAGATAATCTAAAATGCACTTCTTAGCATTAAATATTTTTCTTAGATGTCATATTCTGCTAACTGAAAGGCTAATTTTTTTTCATTAGTATCTTCAATTTATAACTTTAATGGCATGCTTAAAAACTTGAAATTTATCATGATTAATTTCTTATATTTTATGGTTTATTTTGATGTAATTAAAAATGACTATATACTTTAAATTTTACAATTATACTCTAGTAAATATTTATTTTAAAGTTTTCTACTATAGATTTATCGTTTTTATATATTCTTTTTTTTATTTGAATTTTTCTTTATTAAATTTATTGTTAAAATTATTTATAATGGTAAATTTTTAAATTGTTTTTTTAATTAATAAAATTTTTTATAGAATTTAATATTTTATTAATTATTTTTTAAAATTTAAAATTTTATTTACGCACACTTAATATACTATAATTAAACTAAAAATATGGGTTAATTTATGATAATTTTTTGTGTTTTCTAAAATAAAATTTTAATATAAATTTTTTAGTCAAAAATTTTTTACTAAAAATTTATTTAAATATAATAATTAAATTATCCCAAACTAGTACTAAGGGGCTGTTTGGTATCGGGATTTAAGTCGGATTTACGCTAAATCCAGCCAAACAGTTTTTGTGCGCATGTTAAATCCATTAACTTAATTAATATAATTTAAATTATTAATACTTAAGTAAATTAATTAAATAGTTAATTGTATAATTAGTACATAAAATAATTATCTAATTCAACTTAATTATATAATTAGTAATTAAATATTAATATAATTAGATTAATTAATATAACTTAATATATCTATTATTTAATATATAATTAATGGTATAAATAATAATTAATGGGTAATTTGTAATTAACATATTATTAAATTTATAACATGTTATATTTTTTATTTATTATTATAAATTTATTTTTAAGTTATAATTATGTTATTCACATTTTAATACCTAACTGCTATAAATCATGAAATATGTTATCAAACAATTTCTTCTGATTTAACAAAATTTAACATTTGGCATACCAAACAATTTTCAAGATTTAACACATTTCGAAGATTTACTAAATCCCAATTGTTGTCAAACAGCCCCTAAGTCTAAAAATTTGGCCTTCGTTCCTCTCAATTCGCCATCCTACCTGCATTTTCTTTACGCAAACCCTAATCTTTTAGCCGCCGTCTACCTCCGCCGCCATGGGTCGTATGCACAGCCGAGGGTATCCCTGCTTTCCTTGCGTCAATTTCTTACATTTCCTTTGTCTTTCTTGTTTTCATTCCCCTAGCTGTTACTGATCTAAATTTCCGTTTTTCGCACTCAAGAAAGGGTATTTCCTCTTCGGCTTTGCCTTATAAGAGGACTCCTCCGAACTGGCTCAAAACTTCTTCCCAGGATGTAAGTTATTGTTGCATCTGGCTTTCGCCTATTCAACCTCATTCAATGAATCATACGTGTTTATGAGTTTCCTGATGCTTAGGTGGAGGAGAACATTTGCAAGTTTGCGAAAAAGGGGCTGACGCCTTCACAGATTGGTGTAATTCTGCGCGATTCTCACGGTATTGCTCAGGTAAAGAGTGTGACGGGAAGCAAGATTCTCAGGATTCTCAAAGCTCACGGTATAGTCTCATTTATATAATCACCTTTTTTTTTCATTTATGAAGTTTGATTATCATACATAGGAATTAAGTGGTGTGTATGTAAAATCCCCTTTTTATTTCTTTCTCTTATTCTTCTGGTGATGTTATCTAGGTCTTGCACCGGAAATTCCTGAAGATCTGTATCATTTGATAAAGAAGGCTGTTGCCATCAGGAAGCATTTGGAAAGGAACCGCAAGGATAAGGACTCAAAGTTCCGGCTTATCCTTGTGGAGAGCAGGGTCCATCGTCTGGCTCGTTACTACAAGAAGACTAAGAAACTTCCACCAGTTTGGAAATAGTCAGTATCTGTTTCTCGACGATTTTTATTTTTTTGCCAACTTAATTTTATGAAACTTGTTATCTTTTGATCAATTTCAGACTTCCTAAGAAGTCTCTATTATTTTTTTTTGCAATTCCCCTGCTTATTACTATATTTTTTAATTAATTGGTTGAATTGATTGTAATACTTTTGAAACTTGCAGTTCATTATCGCAGGAAAAAATCTTCATTCACGTGAGCATTCTATGATTGGATGCAATTATTGTTATATGTTAGAGTTGCATTGCTAATGTTCCCATTATCGTAAAGGGCCTTTAGGGATTTTTTTTTCTATTTTTTTATTTCTAGTATGTAATAAAAATATGTTTGGTGTCTTATAGGTATTTAAAAGATTAAATGAAATAAAAAATTTTTGAATGAATGTTCCTATTAGGGTTCTTGATAGGGATACCTTGACTTCAAAATAAATACTGTTATCCTATCTTGCATGCATCACCATAAAGGCTAGTAGCAATGAAAACCTTGCTGCAAATTTTTAAGTGGTTGAAGGAATTAATCAGGCTGATGGAGCAATTGTGATAGAAGAGAGGGATGTTGGAGTTTTTATGGTGATGGTGTGGCGTTGCTCTTCATCAAGGCAATCCACAAAGCGTATGTTGTCCTCAAGATTTGGATAGAAGATGCTGCTATGGGCGCAATTTGGTGGTTAGTGTGGTGGTTTTCCCATTATCTATGTGGACGAGGCTGCAAATGTTGTAGCTTTCATGCATGCTAAAATTCACCATGGTAGTGATAAGCAATAGCTTGAATGAAAGTAGAGGAAAAAGTCATAAACTTAGAAACCCTACTTCTTAATCGCAATTGGAGATATTTGAAAGGGGAGGAAGAAAGTGGGTCATGGTGTATTCACAACTCGATGGAGTTTCTATGTAATTATTGCATTGTTGGGGATTTGAGATTGCAAATTTTATTTTATTGCCTAGGGTGTAATCAAAGTATGATCCAAATAGACAAAGTCATACATGATAGGAATTAACGAGAGAACTGACGATGAAGCATTTGTCTATGAGTAGGACAAATGAGATGATTATGATAGGGTGCCTGTTAAAGTGAAGGAGTTGTGATGTGGTTTGGGAATAAATATATTTTTTAATATTAAAAATACATAAGAATTGTTTTTGTTTTTTAATTAAAGCATTTTGTCTTAAGAACTAAAAAAATAAAAATTAACAAGCAAATAGGTTTTGCCAACTTTAATTAGATTTTTAGAGAAAAAAAAAACCCATAAAAAATTGTCCCCAAAAGATATGAAATTTTAGTGAATAGGATTAATGACCTTTCTCCTCCACCTCTATGTGGATCCTAGAGAAAATTGCTTTGGTCCATTTTGTTGAGAAGATTTGTAAATATCTCTCATTCTTGAAACTCCAAATAGGCCCTTGATGTGCTCATATGTGTTGTCATGACTTGGTTTTTTGCAACTATTCAATAGGTTCCCTTATGAATCCCACCTTGCTATTCATTTATATCATATTGTGTTATATGTATTTCCCCATGTCACTTAATTCTTTTGATATAATTATAGCAATGCGCTCTTTGGTTTAATCTTATTTATTCCATGTTTGATTCACATTAATTTTATAATTAGCCTTTCTAGTGCAACTATAACTTTTTTCTTTGCATTTTCCAAAGATTTAATGCACTCTATGTGTAGTAGGTACTAACACTACCATTGTTAGGTCCAAAGTCCTTGATAAGAAAAGTGGAGGGTTGCGTTAGGTAGTCGAAAATCAGTGTAAAACTTGTCGAATAATCATGACATGAATTCTTTAGTGCATTGTATTAATGCTAGGGAGTTCACTGGAAGTCACACACTGTATAAACTGAATACAATGAGAAGTGTGTGCTGCATCGGTTTCCGAGTGTAGTGTTAAATAGACAAGGGTTCCTACATCATGAACAGATGTGGTTAAAGAAGCTAGTCCATGAAACTAGAATTCGGATTGGATCGTAGAATGTATGTTCTCTTACAGACAAATTAATGGATATAATTGATATTATTGATTCATAGGAAGATAAATATTTAATGCATTCAGGAAACTAAATCGATTGGAGAGAATGTTAAGGAGATTGATAGTGTAGGATTCAAACTATGGTATTCTGGTAGAAGTCGTACTAGAAATGGTGTAAGTGTAGTTCTAGATTAGAGTTTGAAGGATAATGTTATAAAAATTGGTAAAATTGGAGACAGAATTATTGCTTTGTAGATTATTATTGATACTAAGATTTTTAATATTATAAGTGCTTATGCTTCTCAAATATGTTTGAATATGTTTTTAAAATTAAAATTTGGTTAAAGATTAAAATTTTGGAATAACTTAGAAGAATTAATTCAAAAGATTCCTTTTGAAGATAGACTTTTTATTTGAGGAGATTTAAATATATATGTTGGTAGAGAGGTAGAGGATTTTAAAAGAATTCATGGTGGCTATGAGTTTGGAGCAACTAATGAAGGTAGTAAGACTATATTAGATTTTGCTCTAGCTTATGATATTATTTAAGCAAATAAATAGGTATCTCATTACTTATAAGAATGGATATAGTAAAATTCAGATTGATTATTTTCTTATAAGAAAAATAGATCGTTTAGATTGCAAAGATTGTAAGAAAAATAGATCATTTAGATTGTCAATCTTAGGCCTTATAAGAGGTTGGGTTGTATATTAAAATGGTTGAAATATACCACAGGCTACTAATGGCATATGCACATAAATTATGTGATTTTAAAGTTTCATAAATGATTGATGGTGCATGCTAAGGATGTAACTTGTGGAGTTTATCTTTTTGGTTTAATGAAGAGTAGTGATGGTGTCCCCTATCATGAACGTGGATCTCATATTTCATTATTGAGCTGGATTTTTGACGAATATAGAGGAGCAGGCATTTGATAGAGTTGTTGGAGGTGACAAATATTAAGTGAGCCAAACTCACAAGTGGCATTGTAAAAGATGAACGAGAAAACTTTAAAGCCACATTTCACGTCCACATTGCTTAAGTATTTTAATTATGAATCCCTTTCCAATATGTAATCATTTTCAAAATTAGTTCAATAGTAGGTTTTCGTACAAGTACTTGAAATTTAAATCGGTTGAACCAAACTTGAATTTTTCGTGTTGGATTTGTAAGTCTTCTAAATAGTGTAGTGAGCAAAGTAGATGTTGCAATCATATAATAGAGACTTAAAATTTATTTTAGAAACAATGATCACTATACAAGGTTTTAAAAGGCGAAATCGGGAATCGAGGTGTTTGTTCTAAACAAGGCGAGGCGTAAGCCTCAAAACGATTAAAATAAATTAATTTAAAATTATAAATAATGACAAAAAATAACAAAATATTATGTCAACTATGAATTTGAAGATTTGTTTTAAGATAATATTACTGGAATACAAGATTTAAAATAAACTCACTTAAAAATAAAACATCCCCTTAGGATCAAGACCCAAAGCAGGCTCGTCATCACTTTGATTGTCTTCAGAAGAATCTTCATAATTAATGTCAAAGTCATCCTCAAACTCTTCTTCATCTATAATATTTTTTCCTTTATCTCCTATATCAGTTAATATTTCATTAGCTATAAAATGAAACAATAGTAACATACAAAATAATTCATTATATTTAAGAATACCTTTGAATTTTTTTGAAGCTTCAATCTCACTTTGTTTCTTCCTTTTATATACTTGGGCAGTTGCTTCATTATCTTCTTCATTGACATGAGTTTCTCCTTCTGCTTCAACTTCAATCATAAATAAATCTCATAGCCGGGGCCCTCTCACCATCAACCATTCTAAGCACCTTTACTAATGGTCATGTTGTCTTCAAAGCATAATTTGTACTGCGCCAAAATGAATCGTCTCTCATAACAATCTTTTTAACTTGCTTTCCTTCTTGTTTTTTGGCCCATGAACTTTTATCCCACTCTTCAGAAGCAAACATTGCTTCCAAAGGTTGTCTTAACTCCTTGAATCTCTGCAATGTTAAATATGCAGTAGCAAATCTTGTAACAATAGGTCTAATAATTTCCTTGTAAGTGAATTTTCTCATCAAGCCGAGTACCCAAGAATGATTGTATATAAACTTACTAACGAATTTGGCCTTCAATATGCCTGATTTATGTTGAGGCAACTGTCCCAACCTCTCAAGCATCAAGTCATACAATGTGCAGCACAAGGAGTCCAGTAAAGGTGAGGCCTTTTCTCCATTAACATTCTTCCTGCAGCTTTATATGCACTTGCATTATCAGTAACAACCTGTACTACTAAAGCATCCCCACTTCCTCCACAACTTCATCCAACATTTCAAACAATAATTGTGCATCCTTTATAAAGCTTGAAGCATCTACTGATTTGAGAAAAGCTGTTCCATATGGATTGTTGACCAAAAAATTAATAATACTTCTATGTCGAATATCTGACTAGCCATCCGACATTATTGTCACTCCTGTCTCAATCCAAGTCTTCTTAACATCATCCACCATTTTTGAAGTTGTCTTAACCTCCTCATTCAGCATCCAAGTCCTCGGCTCATACATGCTTGGAAGTTGTAATCCTCTTCCATAGCTTCAAACAGATCGTAACATATTGATTCACGACGGACTCCTAACAACATTAAATGGAATCCCATTTTCATAGATGAATCTGGCGATATCCAAACAAACTCTATTCCTGAGTTCTTTTGTAGCTGTAGGAGGCTGAATATCCTGAGTATTTATGTTTTCGTCGTTATCAATATTTAGCATAAATCTATCCACGGGCCCCCGACTGTCTCAGTCAGAAGAAACTAGATGGCTTCCAATACTGGAACCTTCATGCTGTGATCCATAGTAAGAAGAGTTTCCTATCATCTCTTCCATATTTCTTTGTGTGACCTCCTTTGTGGTGGCAAACTTCTTTAAATAATTTGTATATTCCTTCTTCACATCATCAGGAACTTTTGCACATGGTCCCACATTAACATGAGT